TGTGCAAATTTGGGCCACGTGACCTTTGCTGACCTCTGTAGGTCAAACGGCTAGAAGTGCCACCGAATGACTTGGACTGTGGATTGGACATGTCATGGCCTACATTGTGTGCGAGTTTCAGCTTGATCGGAGGTGTCCCGAATCTGGGCTGAATCCGGGCTGCGACGTATTGAGTGTCGTTTATTTGCACATTTTGACCTACCGAGGTCAAACGGGGTCACATATCGAAAAGCGGTTTTTGATGAAAGTTACTACGGCCTATGGGCTACCCGATGATAAGCTTTGATTTGGAATTCGGTCAATCCCTCTACTCGAAAACTGCTGTGCAATTGTATTTTCGACATAGCCCACAAATGACCTTAGGTCATCGCATGACCTTGAGAGGTCAAATGAGTGTTGGAAAAGTAAAATTAGATGCTGGCGAGTCTATTGGTGCCATTTTTAGCGCTCTAGCTCTACTGGGTGGGCCACAATCTCCTGTGCAAATTTGGGTCACGTGACCTTTGCTGACCTCTGTAGGTCAAACGGCTAAGAGTGCCACCGAATGACTTGGACTGTAGATTGGGCATGTCATGGCCTACATTGTGTGCGAGTTTCAGCTTGATCGGAGGTGTCCCGAATCTGGGCTGAATCCGGGCTGCGACGTATTGAGTGTCGTTTATTTGCACATTTTGACCTGCCGAGGTCAAACGGGGTCACATATCGAAAAGCGGTTTTTAAGGAAAGTTACTACGGCCTATGGGCTACCCGATGATGTGCTTTGATTTGGAATTCGGTCAATCCCTCTACTCGAAAACTGCTGTGCAAGTGTATTTTCGACATAGCCCACAAATGACCTTAGGTCATCGCATGACCTCGAGAGGTCAAATGAGTTTCGGGAAAGTACGATTAGATGCTGGCGAGTCGATTAGTGCCATTTTTAGCGCTCTAGCTCTACTGGGTGGGCCACAATCTGCTGTGCAAATTTGGGCCACGTGACCTTTGCTGACCTCTGTAGGTCACACGGCTAGGAGTGCCACAGAATGACTTGGACTGTGGATTGGACATGTCATGGCCTACATTTTGTGCGAGTTTCAGCTTGATCGGAGGTGTCCCGAATCTGGGCTGAATCCGGGCTGCGACGTATTGAGTGTCGTTTATTTGCACATTTTGACCTACCGAGGTCAAACGGGGTCACATATCGAAAAGCGGTTTTTAAGGAAAGTTACTACGGCCTATGGGCTACCCGATGATGTGCTTTGATTTGGAATTCGGTCAATCCCTCTACTCGAAAACTGCTGTGCAAGTGTATTTTCGACATAGCCCACAAATGACCTTAGGTCATCGCATGACCTTGAGAGGTCAAATGAGTGTTGGGAAAGTAAGATTAGATGCTGACGAGTCGATTGGTGCCATTTTTAGTGCTCTAGCTCTACTGGGTGGGCCACAATCTGCTGTGCAAATTTGGGCCACGTGACCTTTGCTGACCTCTGTAGGTCAAACGGCTAGGAGTGCCACCGAATAACTTGGACTGTGGATTGGACATGTCATGGCCTACATTGTGTGCGAGTTTCAGCTTGATCGGAGGTGTCCCGAATCTGGGCTGAATCCGGGCTGCGACGTATTGAGTGTCGTTTATTTGCACAGTTTGACCTACCGAGGTCAAATGGGGTCACATATCGAAAAGCGGTTTTTAAGGAAAGTTACTACGGCCTATGGGCTACCCGATGATGTGCTTTGATTTGGAATTCGGTCAATCCCTCTATTTGAAAACTGCTGTGCAAGTGTATTTTCGACATAGCCCACAAATGACCTTAGGTCATCGCATGACCTTGAGAGGTGAAATGAGTGTTGGGAAAGTAAGATTAGATGCTGGCGAGTCGATTGGTGCCATTTTTAGCGCTCTAGCTCTACTGGGTGGGCCACAATCTGCTGTGCAAAATTGGGCCACGTGACCTTTGCTGACCTCTGTAGGTCAAACGGCTAGGAGTGCCACCAAATTACTAGGACTGTGGATTGGACATGTCATGGCCTACATTGTGTGCGAGTTTCAGCTTGATCGGAGGTGTCCCGAATCTGGGCTGAATCCGGGCTGCGACGTATTGAGTGTCGTTTATTTGCACATTTTGACCTACCGAGGTCAAACGGGGTCACATATCGAAAAGCGGTTTTCAGGGAAAGTTACTACGATCTATGGGCTACCCAATGATGTGCTTTGATTTGGAATTCGGTCAATCCCTCTACTCGAAAACTGCTGTGCAAGTGTATTTTCGACATAGCCCACAAATGACCTTAGGTCATCGCATGACCTTGAGAGGTCAAATGAGTTTCGGGAAAGTACGATTAGATGCTGGCGAGTCGATTAGTGCCATTTTTAGCGCTCTAGCTCTACTGGGTGGGCCACAATCTGCTGTGCAAATTTGGGCCACGTGACCTTTGCTGACCTCTGTAGGTCACACGGCTAGGAGTGCCACAGAATGACTTGGACTGTGGATTGGACATGTCATGGCCTACATTGTGTGCGAGTTTCAGCTTGATCGGAGGTGTCCCGAATCTGGGCTGAATCCGGGCTGCGACGTATTGAGTGTCGTTTATTTGCACATTTTGACCTACCGAGGTCAAACGGGGTCACATATCGAAAAGCGGTTTTTAAGGAAAGTTACTACGGCCTATGGGCTACCCGATGATGTGCTTTGATTTGGAATTCGGTCAATCCCTTTACTCGAAAACTGCTGTGCAAGTGTATTTTCGACATAGCCCACAAATGACCTTAGGTCATCGCATGACCTTGAGAGGTCAAATGAGTGTTGGGAAAGTAAGATTAGATGCTGACGAGTCGATTGGTGCCATTTTTAGCGCTCTAGCTCTACTGGGTGGGCCACAATCTGCTGTGCAAATTTGGGGCACGTGACATTTGCTGACCTCTGTAGGTCAAACGGCTGGGAGTGCCACCGAATGACTTGGACTGTGGATTGGGCATGTCATGGCCTACATTGTGTGTGAGTTTCAGCTTGTTCGGAGGTGTCCCGAATCTGGGCTGAATCCGGGCTGCGACGTATTGAGTGTCGTTTATTTGCACATTTTGACCTACCGAGGTCAAACGGGGTCACATATCGAAAAGCGGTTTTTTAGGAAAGTTACTACGGCCTATGGGCTACCCGATGATGTGCTTTGATTTGGATTTTGGTCAATCCTTCTACTCGAAAACTGCTGTGCAAGTGTATTTTCGACATAGCCCACAAATGACCTTAGGTCATCGCATGACCTTGAAAGGTCAAATGAGTGTTGGAAAAGTAAGATTAGATGCTGGCGAGTCGATTGGTGCCATTTTTAGCGCTCTAGCTCTACTGGGTGGGCCACAATCTGCTGTGCAAATTTGGGCCACGTGACCTTTGCTGACCTCTGTAGGTCAAACGGCTAGGAGTGCCACCGAATGACTTGGACTGTGGATTGGACATGTCATTGCCTACATTGTGTGCGAGTTTCAGCTTGATCGGAGTTGTCCCGAATCTGGGCTGAATCCGGGCTGCGACGTATTGAGTGTCGTTTATTTGCACATTTTGACCTACCGAGGTCAAACGGGGTCACATATCGAAAAGCGGTTTTTAAGGAAAGTTACTACGGCGTATGGGCTACCCGATGATGTGCTTTGATTTGGAATTCGGTCAATCCCTCTACTCGAAAACTGCTGTGCAAGTGTATTTTCGACATAGCCCACAAATGACCTTAGGTCATCGCATGACCTTGAGAGGCCAAATGAGTGTTGTGAAAGTAAGATTAGATGCTGGCGAGTCGATTGGTGCCATTTTTAGCGCTCTAGCTCTACTAGGTGGGCCACAATCTGCTGTGCAAATTTGGGCCACGTGACCTTTGCTGACCTCTGTAGGTCAAACGGCTAGGAGTGCCACCGAATGACTTGGACTGTGGATTGGACATGTCATGGCCTACATTGTGTGTGAGTTTCAGCTTGATCGGAGGTGTCCCGAATCTGGGCTGAATACGGGCTGCGACGTATTGAGTGTCGTTTATTTGCACATTTTGACCTACCGAGGTCAAACGGGGTCACATATCGAAAAGCGGTTTTTAAGGAAAGTTACTACGGCCTATGGGCTACCCGATGATATGCTTTGATTTGGAATTCGGTCAATCCCTCTACTCGAAAACTGCTGTGCAATTGTATTTTCGACATAGCCCACAAATGACCTTAGGTTATCGCATGACCTTGAGAGGTCAAATGAGTGTTGGGAAAGTAAGATTAGATGCTGACGAGTCGGTTGGTGCCATTTTTAGCGCTCTAGCTCTACTGGGTGGGCCACAATCTGCTGTGCAAATTTGGGCCACGTGACCTTTGCTGACCTCTGTAGGTCAAACGGCTAGGAGTGCCACCGAATGACTTGGACTGTGGATTGGACATGTCATGGCCTACATTGTGTGCGAGTTTCAGCTTGATCGGAGGTGTCCCGAATCTGGGCTGAATCCGGGCTGCGACGTATTGAGTGTCGTTTATTTGCACATTTTGACCTACCGAGGTCAAACGGGGTCACATATCGAAAAGCGGTTTTGAAGGAAAGTTACTACAGCCTATGGGCTACCCGATGATATGCTTTGATTTTGAATTCGGTCAATCCCTCTACTCGAAAACTGCTGTGCAATTGTATTTTCGACATAGCCCACAAATGACCTTAGGTTATCGCATGACCTTGAGAGGTCAAATGAGTGTTGGGAAAGTAAGATTAGATGCTGACGAGTCGGTTGGTGCCATTTTTAGCGCTCTAGCTCTACTGGGTGGGCCACAATCTGCTGTGCAAATTTGGGCCACGTGACCTTTGCTGACCTCTGTAGGTCAAACGGCTGGGAGTGCCACCGAATGACTTGGACAGTGGATTGGGCATGTCATGGCCTACATTGTGTGCGAGTTTCAGCTTGTTCGGAGGTGTCCCGAATCTGGGCTGAATCCGGGCTGAATCTGGGCTGAATATGGGCTATCTTGACGGACATGTTGCAGTGCCTCTCTGACGTACCTGTGAGAGCCATGTCCGGTCCGTATTCTCGGGGCAGCTGAGGGGAGAGGCGGCGGCCGGCGCGGCGCGCGGCACGGTGCTCACGGACGCGGGCTGCGGCGGCGACTGGCGCGAGGCTGACGAGAGTAGCGCGGCGACTGGCGCGTGGCTGACCACTGACCAGAGTAGCGCGGCGACTGGCGGAGCGGCGCTAACGGTGTCACCTGCGGCCTGTTCGGTGTCCACTGTCACCGACAGCCTGTCCACTGTCACCGACAGCCTGTCCACTGTCACCTGCGACCTGCCCACTGTCACCTGCGGCCTCTCCACTGTCATCGCGACTGTCACCTGCCGCCACTGTGCAGACGAACGGCGAGAAGGACAAACGGACGTCTGAACAGACTATACTGGGGTCTAAACGGACAGCCGGGGCGGGGTCATAAACGGCCTCGGAGTCCCTTCGATAACGGACCACTTGTCTCCTCTCTGTAAAAAAGGTCTTTCGTCTCTTCGATTTGTTGCACCGTTCTTATAGGGCCTTTACAAGTTTCCTTGTATGTTTTTGGTGTATGGACCTCCGGTTGGGAGCGGGTCCCAGAACGACCTCAATTTTCCATGTGCCGAGAGGCGGCAGAGAGTATCAAGTCTTTGCAGTTGTTTGTACCTACTGATGTCACTGCGACACTGGTGAGTTGGTGACATCATATGTACTGGTGGGTGAAGCTGCGATCTGCTGGCTGACGTCACCGGTCGGGCGCCGGGACATTGACCTGACCTAGTGCAGAGCGGTCATTACCGGATCTGCAGACACAGGGGCAGATCGGTCCGCCCGATTCGGTAACCGATTGATGAATGATAATGGTAATTTGGCTGGTGCGGAGACAAAGAACAGTTATATAAATGTTGCAGTAGCATTTTTATGGGGACCGGTTAACAACTCTTGTTCCCACTTCTTGGCCCCAGTTCTTAACCCTGTTTACATAGCATTTAGACATTTCCCTAGCTGGCTTAGAGATATCACAAAACTGGCCAGTGACCTTTTGCAACTACACAAGTGACTGTATTCAATGCTACGAAGAGCGCTTTCTCGGAATTCAGGCATTATACATCAATAAATTGCAATAAATAGGTCATTTTCGGCGCGAAAAAAGGGTACTATTTTATGCGTACAAAGACTATTTGCAAGCACCATATCTGCTGCCATATCTCCCTGCACCCCTTCGTAAACACTTTGCCATATTAGCTAAATCAAGCTATATAAATCACAATATATGCAGATATTCTTTACAAAAACAAAATATAAAGCGATATATAATATAAACAAAAGTAAGATATAAAAGGCTCCAAAGAAAAACATCTTAGAAAACAAGTATTTGGCCCACCACTAATATCGAGTACTGCTGTCTCTCGGCAGACAGCTCTGCGCTCTGATTGGCGGAAATCAAGGCTAACTAGTGCTGGGCAACGAAGTTATGACCAAGTACAGCATGCTCAGGAACGATGATGACGTAGTTGGGGGTGGTAGATTTAGCGTGAAGACCCACCAACAGATGATTTCCTGTCTTATTACTGTTGGCAAAAATAGCGAAGTTGTGTTTATCAACAACAACATTAGGGGTTCTTTTCTGAAAATATAAAAGCATTCATCAGACTTTCCTAAAAACATCAAAATATGACTTCTAAGTGGATCACCTGAGCCGCCACAAAATAGCTTGAACGCCGTGGCTCCCTAATGACGTCATTTTCTGATGAGCAAATCAGCGCCGAGCAAGGCTTACTCTGATTGGTTAGAGAAATATCGAGAGTTTTATGTTGAGGGGACCGGAGTGCACCTTTGGTTAGGAATTTTTCACGGCGGTGGTAAAATCCTCTGGCTTACGCTCTGGCTTGTCTAGCAGTGCCATCTATAATAGAAGTCTTCAACTAGCAGTTTGGCACTTATGATCGCCTAGATGACGCTACCAATCGGTTTAGGTATTTGTTTGACTTGATGAATGAGCGCAACGTGATTAAATAGGTAATTACTGACTCTCGAACCTGCTTAGAAAGTCATTTAGAGCGTATGTGATACTTGTTACCAAATATCTTATGTATTTAAACTCGCACAGAAAATAAACCGACTTTGCAAAAACAGCACTCGGCGGCCGCCCCACGCCGCTCCCTCCCGCTCCCACTCCCGCCGACGACTCGCCGCTCATACATTTTCCACAACAAATACCAGCCGCACGCGATAACTCGCACGCGCGCCCTGCACCGGACGCGCCTCCGCACAGCGGCAACTACACCTCCCCCTGATCCTGAGGATCATTTACATCCCTCACAGAAACATCCTTGCGGAGGACGGCGGGTGCGCTGACTTCGCCGAGGAGCCACGGCAGGAGGCTCCGGCGCTGGAGCGTCGCATAACTCCGGCCCCTGCTCAACTGGAGCCGGCTGGAGGACTGGGAGAGACGGGGGATCCATCACGTAGATGGGGTCGTCCGCGTCAATTTCAGCACATGGAGGTGGCTCACTATTTCTGCGCCGCCGCAAATCCCTGACGTGTCGTGGCATACCGTCCACATCGACAACCTGCGGAGAGACCACCGCCGTGACGGTACCCCGGCGGGACGGCTCCGTGCAGCGCGTCCCCCGTCGGCGCACCCACACCGCGTCTCCGACCGTGTATGGGCCCGTCTCCACCGCAGGGAGCTCCCGCGCCCCGGCACCACCGTCCGCGGCCGTCCCTGGCGGAGCAGCCGGCAACCGCACACAGTCACTCGGCTCGTACCTGTACACGCCACAAAACGGGGCGCTGGCCACCGCCTCGCCGTCACGCGGCGTCACATTATACAAGTGCACCGCCTCGGCGATATCGCACCGTTTCCGGGCGGCGATCACTTTCACTGTCCGGTGGCAGCGCTCGATGACACCGTTCCCGCTCGGTGCATGGGCCGCCCGGAACCTCACCGCCACTCCCCAGCGCGCGGCGAGCACGGCAAACGGTCGGCCGCGGAACACAGGATCGTTATCACACAACAGCTCCGCCGGAGCTCCTCGATCAAAAAATATCTCCTCCAGCCGCTGAATAACGCACACACTGTCCTGCCGTCGCAGCGGCCGCCACACAGTGAACCGCGACGGCCCGCAGTCGATTACACTGAGGTACGGATGGCCCCCATAATGAGTTATATCAATGGCCAGTCTGTGCCACGTCTGTGGTACACCCAACGACCCGTGTCGCCACTTTACTGGAGCCGGGTCGATCGCTCGACAGACATCACAATTTGTCACCACAGCGCGTACCTGGTCTCTCGAGACGCGGCCGATACATCGGCGAGCAAAATACAATGTCCGTCGGACGCCCGGATGACCAGCTCGCTCGTGCACTTCAGCCACGCTCTCTGCGCCATCGAGGCTCGCGTTTACAGCGTTCGGCTCGTCCGCTGTGGCCGCGCTTACTGCCGACGGTTCACCCACCGCGGCTGCGCTCACTGCCGGCTCGCCCGCGGCAGCTACTCCCACTGCCGACGGCCCGCCCGCTGCGGCCGCGCTCACTGCCGCCGCGCTCACTGCCGACGGCTCGCCCGATGCAGCCGCGCTCACAGCCGCCGTGCTCACTGCCGACGGCTCGTCCGATGTAGCCGCGCTCACAGCGGCCGCACTCACTGCCGACGGCTCGCCCGCTGCAGCCGCGCTCACTGCCGACGGCTCGCCCGCTGCAGCCGCGCTCACAGCGGCCGCGCTCACTGCCGACGGCTCGCCCGCTGCAGCCGCGCTGACAGCAGCTGCGCTCACTGCCGACGGCTCGCCAGCCGTGCTCACGGCTGCCGCGCTCACTGTCGTCGTCAGATCGTCTCGGAGCCACTCCCTGGGCACTCGAGTCAGTGCGTCAGCGCGATTATCCGCCGATCGAACGAGCGCCACGGTCAGACGGAGCTCCAGCTCGATGACCAGCTGACGGATAATCGCCACACGCCGCCGGATGAGCAGCTCACCGCTGGCTTTAGTACGGAGGCGCGCGCGGCCACTGATCGCGTCGTCGATCCACCGCTTCACCGTCACCGAGTCGGTTCGGAGGTCGATTCTCCGTGCGCCCCACGCAACAGCCAAGTTGATGCCTCGAATAGCGGCATCGAGTTCGGCCATATTTATGTGTACAGCGTCGTCTCGCCTGAGCCAGCATGCGTCCTCGATCACCTCACCGTCTGTGTTTTCCAGGACCACTCCGGTGGCCAGCGAGCTGGCGTCTGTCCAGGCGACCACCTCGTCCCCGTCGACACACCACACGCCACGGGCCGGGTCGTCACTGGCGAGGCGACTCGCGATACAGTCCATCTGCACGCGCAGCGCGGAGTCATCAGTGATGTCGTCCCATCCGCGCGTCAGCTCATTTACACGCCGCTTAAGCCATGCAACCGCGGGTCGAAGCCACCCACACACTGGTACGTGGGCCACTAGCTGTCCGCACCACGCGAACACAGACCGGCGAGTCACGCGTTCTGGCGGCGCGCTCACGGCATTGTCCCGCTTCCACCGCAGCTGTCCGTTCTCCTCGTGCACCCGCAGGCCCAGGAGCCGCGCTCCACTGGCCGCCCGCTCCGGCGGCTTACAGTCCAGCCCAAACTGCGCGAAATGCGCCACCACGCGCTCGGCACTGACAATGTCCTCATTTACAAGGAGATCGTCCACATATGGGAGGACGGCACGCCCGATGTCGGGGTCCTGATCGAGCACAGCACGCACGACAGCCTTCATCACGAGGGGCGCGATATTCAAACCAAAACCTAGGCGGGTCAAGCAGAATCGCTGCCCCCGCACCATCACCGTCTGAAACGGCCAGAGTCGCTCCTCCAGGTGCAGCTGGAGGTAGGCACGCTTCAGGTCCACGACCGCCACATTTGCGCCGTGCCGGCGCCACTTGCGGAGCTGTTCCGCGCACACGTCGCTGTCAGCTGTGTGAGCCTGCACAAAGTCATTCAGTTCCCGGTAGTCCAGCACCGGTCGAACTTTCCCCCGATTGCGCTGCTCCACAGCCATTAGCGGCACCAACCCTTTCGGCGGCCCCTGCCGCCGCTCGTCATACGGCACGAGCCACTCCCGCTCTATCCAGTCGTCAAGTTCTGTCTCGAACTCGTGACGAGCGGCGGGCGGCACAGCATACTGCGGCACAGCGTTCGTGAGGCACTGGGGTCCTATTCCATCAGACCATTTCCATGCAACCGACCACTTCCGGTCAGCCGCGTTGAACTGCACCCGGAAGTCCGGCGTCTCAATGTCTGGCGGCGCACGGCACACTGCTCCACAGAACCGCACCACAGAGGGGGACAGCACCGTCACGCCCCCGAGAGCCGAGATACCGCTGACCCCGAGCACCATATCCACGCCGAGCGGCCGCTCCTCCACCACCAGCGTTTCAAGCGCGGCACGATGGCCCGTCGGCGCCTCCACCGTTACACTGCCAATGCCGCTGCATTTCAGGTCGTCGCCGCTGATCGTGGTGACGCGCACCACCCGTCGTCTCCACTGCGCACAGAATGGCGCGTAGATGATGGTGTCGGTGCTCCCGGTGTCGATGAGGACCGTGCACTCTCGTCCGTCCACGTGCAGGCGTGTAATCGGCAGCGCACCGCTCACTGTCGCGCAGGAGAGAACGGCGGTGCTGACCCGTCCCCTCCGGCCCCGTTTTCCGACCGACGCGGACATCTCGCAGCGATATGCCCGGGCTCTCCGCAGGTCCAACATCTCAGCGGACGCGGCACGCGCGGAGGCCGTCCACGCGTCGGCACCGGCGGCTGGCCGGGACCAGGCGCCGCAGGTGGGTGGCTAGCCGGCGGCGGCACAGTCCGACGCGCCGCTGCTGCTGCTGTGGAGAGCCGCTCGTCGGTCAGTACAGCGCGAGCGCGCGCCAGCACCGACGACAGGTCCAGTCCATCTGCCCGGCAGCCAGCACGGATCATCTGCCGGACGCTGTCCGGCAGGCCTGCCACGAATGCGCATGCCAGCGCTCGCTCCGGCACTCCTCCGAACAGCGCCGCCAGCCGGCGGAGGTCTGCGAGGAATACGTCCGCCGACTCTCCTGGCATCAGTCGCCGAGCGGCGAACGCTTCATAGGCGGCGTACTCATCGAGAGCAAACGCCGCCTGGAGGGCGTCTCTCACGGCCGTCAGCGAGCAGCGACTGGCCGCCGGCAGCTGGGACCATACGTGGAAAGCACCGCCAGCGAGGCGCAGAGGAATCACAGTCTCGGCGGCCACTCCCCTCAGCTGGCACAGCATCTCAGCACGCGCCAGCCAGCTGACCACATCTTCGGTCCCGTCAAACTCCGGTATCAGCCGCGCATCAAAAGGTGCCGAAGGTACCGCGACCACAGGCTGTGAGACGGGTGCCGAGTCTGGCACACCACCATCACCAACCGGCACCGGCGCTGTCACCGGTCGCGGGACGATTGTCGGCGCCACTGCACTTGCCATCACCGGAACCTGGTCCAATGACACTGTCACGTTCGTCGCCATAATGCCGAAATAGCTTGTATTTAAACTCGCACAGAAAATAAACCGACTTTGCAAAAACAGCACTCGGCGGCCGCCCCACGCCGCTCCCTCCCGCTCCCACTCCCGCCGACGACTCGCCGCTCATACATTTTCCACAACAAATACCAGCCGCACGCGATAACTCGCACGCGCGCCCTGCACCGGACGCGCCTCCGCACAGCGGCAACTACATCTTACGCACTCAGTTTCTGCTTCGTGTTTTCCATGCCTTTTGAATCGATCAAGAAAATGTCACTGCTCAGAGGTTGAAGGTAAGCGGGAAAAGGGGTGTTACATATTTGATCTTTCTATAAATGAATGTAGAATAAGAATAAATGCAATCCGCTAAATATAAGCTGCAGGGAGTGCATCGAACTCAACAATCAGCTTTATTTTCATCGCTTTCATGGAAACAACTTAGTCTTATGCTTAAATGTTGGGTAAAAACTTTGCAATATTCCACTCATATGATGCCCAAATGTACGACATACAATTCATTTGAAGCCCATGCGTCGTTTATTATCAAAACTACATAACATGAAGAGTACCATTAACTTGGCAGGCTTTTTCTATTTGGTGGCCAGAACTCAATTACCACATTTCTGGATTTTGTATTTGCTGCGCAGCATTTGTCGACATGGCGGAGGCCGAACACCTGAAACTAGATCGAGCTGGCATGTGAATCTGGCAACTCCTATGTAAACGGGGCTCTTGTGACAGCTTTCCTTCAATGTTTGTCGTAGCAAAGGCGAATGTTTAAAGGGACCCTCCCACCTTCAAAAAAGTTAATGAATTGGCATAAAAGTGATGTAGCGTGAATCACAAAGAGCGAAAATGAACATCTACCAAATTTTACCGGAAAATATTCACCCGTTTTCGAGATATAAGACTTTTATTTTTGTTTACTTTTTGGGAACTCCGCTGCTTCTATGACGTCACATAAAGGTTTTCTTTACGTCGGCATTTGGAAGCAATAGTTTGGTATCAAAGTGCGACAAATATTGCGCGAATGATGCGTTTATCTTATGAAGGTCAATATATGATGGCCAATAAAGGATTCCAGGACAATTCTTCTTATGGCATTTCGTCGTATCGCAATTCTTCGTCTGCAAATCTTCGTCAGGGCATTTATTCGTATCGCATTACTCTGTCTCGCATCAGGGTATATGAAAATCGGCTCGCATTTCTTCTTCAACGCAAATATATGCAAGAGTAAGCATTGAGGGACAAATAAATGCACCGACGAAGATTTGTAGACGAAGAAATGCGGACGAAAAATTGTGCTACGAAGAAATGTCATGCGAGGATTCGTTCGGGTACCATGACATTTATGTGATTTCAAAGTCAAGGTTCACAGCTGATCTGCTAAATCAAGCCAAGAATCCAAACTATCAAAAAAACTATAAATACTTGTTTGTCTGTCACAGAGCAAGAGGTCTCAAGCAATATAAGGTTGACATTGTTGAATCAAAAATCTACTGCCACAACTCACATCTCCTGCCTTAGTTTATCATTGCTGTTTTAACTTGCTTTCAAGAGAAACAGAAGCCAGTATCTGATATCACTTCAGATGATTGTTTCAAGATCTGAGTTCAAATGGAAATAAAAGCAAGATCAAGATGAAACAGGGATTATTGCTGTTAAAGTAGTTTGGCCATGATACAACAAGCACATAAATCATTAGCCAAATCAAATACTGGTTGGTTTGTCAAGATGTTTGTTGTCTGTCGTCTGTCGAGCTGCTATGAACACTGAACGCTCTCACTCTTACTTTAAAGAGAGTAGTTTAAGTTGAATGGTAGTGAGCTGTAATTAGACAAAGCAGCTATTCAGTGCTCACATCAATCCAGGCTAGGAAATGGCATCAACTGTGGTGGGAGGAAGCAGGCTCGGCAGCCCTATGTTGTAAACTTCTGTTGTGTCTTGTGTTTGATCAACTGATGTTTTCTGCTCTGTTTTGTGCAGTGATAGTAGCACGTAACTGCATGCTTGTCAAATTATGTGAATAAACGAATTCATAGCATTGCATTTTTCTCTCCATGCAAGGAACAAGTAAGATGTTGTAGAAAATGTAATAGAGGGCTGCATTGCTGATTTTGCACTTTATCAGAGCTTTATTTAGAATTGCTTTCCTGAAAGCTACACACAGGCCACAGCACTGAAATTCACAATGTCATAGCTTTTGGCAGAAAAAAGAAAAGACTTACCTAGGTAAAATTGGCTGAAAGTATGGCAGAGCAGGTCTTGATGCGTATGCCCATCCGTGTGCTTGCCGAAGCCGAACTGACTGCAACACATTAACTCTGACCCACCATGGTGGCTGGCATATCCTGAACTTTCACCACTCTAAACAAGACAACTTTCAGCCCTCAGCATTGTATTAAAACACTGTACATGACACTCAAAATTTGTTTCAGTGCCATCCACCGACAACATCAGTCGCCATTCACCAGGCCAGTAAAAACAGAATAGATAATAGCTTCAAACCCATGTAGTCAGAGTTACTAGGTCTGCACCTCAAAACAAAATCCAGGTGACATTCACCGCGCCAGTAAAAAACAGGTACTTAGGTAACGTAACAGCTTCAAATCTGGTAACATGTTAATCAGACTTTACACTTCCATATTTACATGGAATAATATGATACCAAACAATAGTGCAACCATTCTGGACAACAAAAGCGTATGATAAAATTAATTTAGAATACTTTGGCAGCATGATTTACGAGCACAGGCAGGTGTTACCTACCAGCCTTCTCAATGCTCGTAAAACCAACATTGTAGTTTTGATTTTACCTTACATGATAACACACTTGGCTGCAATGGCACATTTAATTTAATACTGTGAAAAGACCAGTTATAACCACTTCACAAGCACAATTGCACCTCATGCCGACATCCTTTTCCAAAGACAGTCAGCAGCGTCTTTCGTCAAAACTGGAAGATCAATCCCCTTTCAACTGTTAACATCAAAAATATTTCTTCATGGTGTGATCTCCATATGGAAACCTTGCAGGAAAAGAATTAATGTCAATTGTCAGCTCTTCAAATTTCTTTGGACTTTAACTTGCACTACCATATCCAGTTTGCTTTGATATTTTGTTTTTTATTCCATGTTGAAGTTGAACACCAAGCTCCAGATATAGCAGGCAGCTTGATCATCCTCGGCCTTGGTATAATACCTATCAGTCCAAGTTCCAGTGGTGGGTATCTTCTAATATTCAAATTAAAATGAAAAGCAATAGGCTTTCTCAGCGCCGACGACGGATTTCACGTTGATAAAAAATGCAGCTCAAGGTCAGCAAAACTCGGGTTCAAGGAATGGCGGGCGTTGAAATGACTGCTGACGTCATCAAAAAACCGCTAATGGTTAAGAGATAGGGACTACGCTGGTCCCACCCTGCAAGTAAAGGGAAGAAATTTCTTGAACACCATAAAGCTGCGGGGGTTGCGACCAGGATAAATGGTGGTTTCTGAGCCTGGCCGCAAACTTGGCTATCTCAACTCAAAACTAATGTTAAGGTGGGATGGTCCCTTTAACTGTCAAGTCACTCTCATCCTAGTTGCCGCTTTGGTTGCCTCCTTTTCATCGGCGTTTCTCTCGGTCACAGTGTCTCATAACTGTCAGTACCTACTTGTAGGCATGTATGAGCCCATGTATGCATGCATGTATGTGTGTGTTGTTTATTTGTGTCCTTGTACCTATCAAACATGTAGGTATGTGCATTGAGCATGTTTGCTGTGCCCGGTCGGGTCCCCTCCCGGCTGTCCGTCTACATCCATGCTTCGTCGCTGATATACGATCCCAGGAGCCGGAGAGCGGCCATCCCGGCGCGCCGCAGCCGTCGACAGATGGTGCGCCGCTTCCGCCCAGCTGGTGCGCCATGATCGGCGCCGTTTTACGTCAGGTGACGGCCGCAGGAACAGGAAGACGCAGAGGTGACAAAACGAGTCGACGCCGACGGCTCCGACGGTAATTTGCTCCGACGCCGACGGCAACGAAGGTAAGATAAACGTTCATTAATTGGTTTCATCAGGCAAAGACCGAATTTAGTATTTTACATCTGTAACATCCAACAACTTATCAGCAGCGACACCTCGGCATCCCATGCCACCGTTTAAATGGATTCAAGTTCAACGACAGTTCTGTCGTCCGCTTCTGACATGCCTTTCTGTCGTGCTTCAGGGGCCTATACTCTCGCTGGTAAGGTGGCGAAGCATCGTATGGTAATAGACCAGGAGCGCGACCAAGTCGAGAAACTCATTGTTCGACTTGCAATAGTCGGGAACCAGGATGCAAGCATTGAGTCATGACTGACGTGTACGTAATATCGCCTACCGGTCATGTGAATCAATGCATCGTTACGACCCGCGTCACTGAGAATGAACGCCCAGAAGTCAGAACATTACAAACATTGCATCGAGGCGCAAGCAATGTGTAGGTACATTGACTTCGTCAGAAACTGGGTGTTAGTTCGTAGACAAGAAGTTAATAAAGCCAAGCAAAATAAGCGAACACTGTTTATTTACGCTCATTCGCGTAAAATATCGTATGTAACTATATGCACAATTATTTTTGGAGTGTTTGGAAGCGAACCTATACGGTATTCTATGCAGTCATCCCCGCGGTATGAGCGCGAAGTGAGCCGTCAGTATCAAAGAGAAATGAACCAGTCAGTTTCGGAGCGAAGTGGAAGCAGCGTGAGCCGTATGTATGAGAGTAGGTAAGTACCTACCTATAGTGAA